CCATGTGGACTGCGGGCAACACCGAGGGGCCGCCACTTTGACTCCGCAGAGTTGTTTTGTCTCTTTGCAGGGTTGGCAGGGAAATTCCATGCAGCCTGCTACTGCTGGTTTTGTCCTTAACTGTCACTCCATGCGAAGTAATGCGCTTCATCGAGTGAGGGGGTTGATTGGGTTTGTGTGCACTCTGATTCTGTTTGCTACTTTGTGTGGGCACGCAAAACCTGAGGGGCGGTAAAATGGAGCGGGGCGATGTATGGCCGCGTCTCGCCCATTGTTCACTGCACGATGGTGCGGTGCACATTGTGGTGTTGACTCTGCGATGTGACTGCGGTCCCCTGTGCGGCAATGGTGGTGGGTGGACGAGAGTGTTGGCCCGCGGCGGGACGGTGGGATCGTGCCTCCTTTTTATTCGTTGTTCCTTCCCTTTTGTGAAGGTGAGCGCTTATTTTTTGTGTTGGTAATGGGGCAAACGGACAGACAACGTGAATCATAAAATATGCAGGGCGTTAATGTGGCGGTGTGTTGGGGTTGGTTGCACGCCTCGCGTTGCTGCGGGGCGGTGGGCCCCGGCTGCTTCACCGACAGGCGTTGCAGTGCGGCTGCATGGCGCACCGACCGCCCCGCCGTGCGAGTGCCACGCCCAACGCCATTGGGACTGCGGGACGAAACAGCCGCGAGTGTCCTTTGGAGCCCGCGGCGCCTGCTGGCCGCAGTTGGGCGGTGCGAGTGGGATGCTTCACTGCACGGGTGTTGTGATGGCACCTCGCCGTGGCTCTTGTGATGGTTCCGACGCTGCGGCTCGACATGTGGCGGGGAGTAAAGTGTGGCCGCAGTGGACCATGAGCAGCACCAACGTGAGGCTGAGTGATTTCCTTTGGAATTATGTTGGCGGCAGGGCGGCCGTTGATGAAAGAATACAATGTGACGATGGAGATGTTTGTTCAGGAGCCGGATGGTTACGTACAAGACCAGCGGCTTCCTGAAGAAATTCTTAACTTAACTGCGTACCAAGCGCTGGAGGCCATTACTAACCCACTTCACGAAGGTGTGTTCTCTCTCGGGCAACGTAGGGACTATGAAAGAAAAGGATACGATCACTCCTCTTGCAAGGGGAAAACCAAACGGAGTACTCACGCAGGTACTGACAGAAGCGAGGCGGGAGGCAGAGGAAAGGCTAAGACGAACGGAAGAAATGAAATTTACCATTTCCACTAATATCGAAGACGTACTGTTTAAAGGAAGAGTTCGCGTCAATGAAATGAAGCTGAACGACTTTCTTACGAGGGAACTGGACGGCAGGGGCATTGTGGACACCAATCGGGATGTCTTGCCGGAGGAGTTTTTCAAGGACCCCACAAAGTATATCCGTGATAAAGGAGCGTTGAACGAAATACAGGCATCAGGTCATTATTTGAGTATGAAGCGAGCTGTAAAGGGCGAAGTGATCTTCGATGAGGATATACGCAAGCTTTGCGACAAGGGTGTCAACAATCCACCGGGGCGGTCATTAGCTGCTGCGGAGGTAAAAGCAACTGTTCATAACTCCACCAAACATTTCTTGGATGCAGCTGCCGAGGAGGCGAGGAACCCAACGACGACGAGCGCACCGGAGAAACTGGAGGGATGCTACGAGTCTGTGCACAATGCGAGGCGGAGCCATGCGGTGGAACTTCCGGACGGCGTGGAGCGAAAGAAAACGGGGACGGGAATGGGGGTGCATGAGGGGAATCCAGAACAGTCATGGTCGTACAAATAAGCTGACGACGCTATCGAAAAGAATGACGCTGTGCAGCAATTTTGTGC